CCTTCCCGCACGGCTGGCCACCCCAGAAAGATAGCTCATTATTCATAAGCCGAAATTGCTGCTTATAATTCAAGAAAGGCTTGCCGTCAAGTGGCTGGCAAAGATGTGTTGAATGAGGTAGAAACCCGAAGGGGATAATTGAATTATCCTCGCATTTCTGTAGAAATTCGAGGGTAAGATGCGCGCCATGGCCATCGAATATAAGATAGCGCTTTTCTCCCCTTTTCGTACGGTCGGCAGTAGCAGTAATAAAATAGCCTAGCCAGGCTAGCGCTAATTCATCAGAAATCCAGCCATTTGGTGAGAGTGCAGTGCAAGTATTATGTGGAAGGTATTCGCTACCATAAAACCAGGTCTCCATAAAGTTCTTCCCGCTGCTTTTAAATATAAAAAACGGATCCATAAGCCAGCCATCAGCACTAATACATTCGACGGCAGTGATAGTCTCGCCTTTCTTAGTTTTAGCAAGGTCAGGGCAAGATAATTTAGAACCGATAACCTTTCGCGATTGTCCTTGACCAGGTTGGAAGCCGCAGTCATCAAAGTTATATACTAGCCGTGCGGGGACACCACGGAGAAGAATTGCAAGCTGGTCATACCAGTGCGCAAGAAACCCTGCATCTTCGGCTTGGATTCGCTTCTTCTCTTTAGTCTTCTGCCTCACTGGGGCAAGATTTAGGTGCTTTGGGAGACGTGCTTCAAAGCGATACGCCCACATTTTGCTAACCTGTCTATCCCGGCCCGCTCGCTCAAGTGCGCGATTCGCCCACGCCTGGATAACCCCCGCAGTGGGTGGTAGATTCCAGCTATACATTTTAACTATCTAATTAGTCAAGGCTTTCTCCTGGTATGGCGAAAGGGCATTTTTCAGCGGTGTAGTGGGTGTAGGAGGCGATTTAGCCTTTTTAACGCGATCGGCCAGGGTAGTGCGAGACACGCCCAATTCACGCGCAATCTTCGCAATATTTGGCTTCTTTTGGGCCAGAGCCAATTTGCAGGCTTGGGCCATGCGAGATTCATCAAAATCGGCAGATTTGGTCATGTTGGGTGGTTGAAATAGCTGGTTGTAAGCGAATCTTCAAAATATGACGGTGTTTAGTGGGTTCCGGTTAACCGTGGTGCACCCAAAAGCGGAAGCGGTGGGTGTCACCAAAGGGCATGGATACAGCCTCTTTCTCTTTTATAGCCTTTATTGATCGATTGGCATCTTTTATACTAAGTATACCGGAGTCGCTAAGCTTTGGAATCTCTCTTAGTAATTTGACGCTTCCGAGAGACTTGTATCTCTCTTACCTATATTCGGCTAACTATACCGCTCATCATACTAAGCGCTCCTCTGCTGTTTCTTTATATCAGTGGCGGTTCCGACCACCCACCGCCTTCCGCCGGTTAGGACTATTAGTATTAAATTTAGCATTAATATCTTCGTGAGCTTTCTCTTTTTTTTTTTTTTTTTTTTTTTTTTTTTTTTTTTTTTTTTCAGATTTAAAAGAAAAATTTCGGATAATTTGTTGGTTAAAAGTCTTGTTTCGTATGTTGACGATATCAGCGAGAAAATCTGCCTTACTTGCGGGGTAGCCCACCCCACTGAGATGAAACCAGTCCAAAAGTCTGGTAGATCAGGGTGATCGTACCAGCTTTCGATAAACTTTGTGCCTTTAAAAAATAAACAACGGCTGCACTATCCATCCATCAGCAGCGATACATTGGATCCGGCTGGGAAATTGTGTTAATACAAACTCAATCGCACCGATCACGGCACGGACAGAATCGAGATCACGGAGTAGACTTTGCCTCCACTCTCGGCGATGGAGCTGGGCCGCCTGCATCGAAAGGAAGGCTTGTCCAGGAAACGCCCTGTCCCATCCATTACTGGAGATCGCATTGTTGCGGATAGATAGAGTGAATCACCGCCATGGCACATTTGTGCTCACCACAAGGGCCACATCAATTGCCAGTGTATTTGGATTATGTGAAACAACAAACCCCCTGGCCCCTACCTCATGGATCGTTGTATTCAGCATGGACGAGGAAAGATCTGTCCGATTCCAGCAACTGCCGGATGCTTGCACCTCACAGGTTACGTAGAAAACTCCATTCGATCCGACTGAGAAGAAGATCGCATCTCCTTCAGCCACCTGGAGCACCTAAAAGTCTTGCTGTGCGCCCCTCGCGAATACATGTTTTTAGTTTTTCATCAACTCCGAGTGCGCCGGACCTTGGTGCTGATTTTGGTGCCATGTTTCTGGTCAACACAGGCTCGAACAAAGATACTGTTCGGTGTCAATATATAGAGAACGTGGATTCTCTCTGCTCCTGCGGAAATATCTTCCATTCCAGGCTCTTATCGGACAGAGTTGTTGTCTGCATTTTCCGGGGTCCCTTCGTCGATAATATTTTGACTTCCTGTACGGTTATGCCGAGAAATAAATGCACATGGCGAGCTTCAAGGAACTCGGGAAGTGTAGTATGTTGGGTTGGACCCGCGTTTACTGCTCAGCTTCTTATATTCGCTGTTCTTTTATCTGTGCTTGTTTGGCTTGCTCTCGGAGTCGCTCCTTTTCTCGTAGTCGTTGCTCTTTTTAAGGCGCCGGCGCAACACCCGCATCTCCCCGACAGACATTCTGATTGCTGTTGGATGAGTGGCCATCACCAACCTGGTTTGTGATGGAGTATTTTGGGGGGGGCGCCTGCCTGGCAGAAATCCATAACCTTAATAGAAATGATTGTTCTCCGTAGATTACAGCCAACGACTTTGCCGCTTAGATCTCATCCGTTGCTCCAGTAATCCGCTGCCATTTTGGCTGGTGGGTACTAAAACAGACAAATTAGTGTCCTACTTTCCGTTTCACGAATCCGTCGCTTTTGCTGATTGGTGATGGTAAAGATCAGAACGAAGCGTAATTAACGCTTCGTACGCTTCGTTCTGAACAACAACACTAGCTTCCCCTTTGGGGCCCTTCTTTGCAACGTAAGATGGGCAATGGATATAAAGCATTTCGGTTAATAAGACCTATACAATCCTCACAAAGTACATGCCGACTTTCACTTGAAACGTCTCAGAGTCCACATAGGTCGTCCTTCTAGACCACTCTTTCGGCAGGTGTCACCTCGTCTTCTCTCATCCCCGTCTAACTACAACCTAGACGGATTGCAACGTCTCTCACCAAAATTTTGTGACCTCACACCGACTTTTCGCCTAATTTTCATTCCATGCGATATTATCAGGACTACCAAAAGACCAGTTGGTCCACCCGATTATTCTCTCAGTGTCGATTATTTCGCCTTGTGATGGGTGAGTAGAGGTAGAAAAATACGTATCCAAGAGTGATTCAGGCCCATGCGGTAATTGAACCTGGTGGATGTATTTATTGGACCTCGGCGTGAATTCATTCTGTCAACCTATCGAACTCAGTGGTATAATATGTACATACGGAGCTATGCTTCAAAAGACATGAGCGACGCCAGAAGACTTGGCTGTAATGCCACCACACCGATTCCTATACTAATTTATATAACCTGTAAGACAGGCGTTCCGGGTGCAAAAAGATGCAACTGGAGTAGATGTATATTGTCCGAGGTCGATTCAACCTCCTCGACCCTGGTGCCAGATAGCTGTGCCTCAATATCCGGAAATGCTTGCTCTTCGTCAAAGTCCTCCCGGATCCAATGTCATAAGGCTCAGATGGCTCACTCCCGGAACTTGTCCCCTGATAGCCAATATTCCTGGAGATCAGCCAAATCACGTCCTCAGACGCATTCCTTGCACCACCAAGCCAGAGACATTTAACGCGGACCAGTCCCTTCAGCAGTAGGAGCCAGACGACCATCACCCCTGTTCTCCGCCGATCCTAATGAACTATGACCTGTATGGTGCCTAATCAAGTAGGTGCACAATCCCGCTAGGGCTAAGGTGCGCGATATGAAGACGCCTCAGGTCTCCCGCGATAAAAATGATGCAGAAGTGATTGATTGAATCCGTTCAATCTCCGTTCTTCGAGCCCACCCCACCGAGCCGCAAGCCTCCTTCTATCCGTGATCCCACATGCATGAGGTTAAACACAAAGCCCCAGCGGAAACGGAGATTATCACGCTAGCAGCTCACATACTCGAGGAGGCCCAAGGGCTCAAACAACGACCCACCAGCCCATGCTGAAAGACATACTCGGTGCCCTTCAAAGCCATGGAAGCACGGCGACTCCGACTCCAGGATTCAGCACCGGAGTTCACGATACGGTGGATTCCCACGCACGTCGGTGTCCCCGGAAACGAGGCGGCCGATGAGGCCGCCAAGGAAGCTGCAGCTGACGTGGGCAAACAATTCCGTAGAGGAATTATATGGCTAGCGGCCGAGGCCAATCCCGCGATGCGTCCACATATACAGACACGTTGGAAAAAACAGTGGGAGACAGAAAAACAGGCTAAGCCGATACCTACGGCAGCTGATCAAGGCTTCGAACAAGTCTACGGCGAGGCTCTACGGCGGCTTACCAAAGTGTCAGAATAAAGCTAGTCCATATTGGGACATCACGTGAATATATATACCCAATACTCCTCTCAGAGGGGTTGGGCTGACAATCCTTCTGAATACAACCACTTCAGACCCCCCAATAAATCAAACACAAAGCCGTACGCGTCTGTTATCATGCATATGCGAAACATTGAAAATTCAATTAGCGAACTTCCTCCACAAGATCAAAGCTTCCGAGAGCGATCAAAAGAAAGATTGCAGACGGTGAAGCATGTCCTCCTAGAGTGTCTGCTGCATACTGTCGTACGCAAGGAGGTGCTAAATAGGATCGCCGCACATAGGATTCAGGTCCACACATCTGGCTATGACGCACTGATGTCCAACCCGCAGGCGATACGCTACATGCCGAATTCATGGGGGTGCTCGGCCAGTTCTAACACTTGATGTCGTGGACATCGCTGTGTCAAGCCCTACCCGGACAAGACGCTCGTCCTAGGAGGCGTCTATAGTACTGCGACCGACTGTCTGGATGGGGGCATCGTGCAAGTCTTCTGACCTCAGCACGGGTCAGTTCCAGGATGAATACGATACAGAGAAATGGAATGACTACAAAGTGCCTGATCTAGTATCCGCACGCATTGGCGGGAGTACGTCTTGTCTGTCTCTTCGTAACTATATGTATCCGCATAGATATACTAACGATCACAGTGCGCAAGGAGATGCCGACCAGAAGGCGTCCAAGTCGTGGACCAGTTCCTTCCTCAAGGACATCTTCGCCTCCTGATACACCAAAACTATCTCCTCGTGGTATCCTACAACCGCACCGACAACGGCAGCACTTCTACCCGCACCGTCTCCGCCGTGCCGACAAGAAGTCCACACTTGGCGGCCCGGTGCCATAATCAGTGTCGTCCTGGGGCTGCTGCTCGTCGGGAGTGCCGTTGCCCTCTGGTGTTTCCGTCGTCGTCGTCATGCGCGCCGTGGATCGCAGATGACGAGCGAGGGCAAGAAATCGCATATCATGCGATGGATGTACGCGGACAAGCCGGGGATAGAGGATGGGCCCAAATTGACGGGCACGACGGCGTCGGTAGTTACTAAACGTAGCATCCGAATAAGTCCGCCGATCGATCAGTCCGTCGTCACAGCCACTTCGCCGCGAACCATCGAGGCAGACAGCAATCTCATCTACGAGATGCACGGTATTCTCCCTCCCTACTTATGTATTGATATATATCTGACTGCTAGACCACAGTACCGCCCCTCCCGTTGAACTGTCGACCCCGTTCAACAACCCCTCGCCCAGTCCGACGGCGAGCGATGCCTCCAGCTACGGCTTCGTCTCGCCCCTATTGACCACTTCAGCCAGAGAATTTGATTCCGCGCCCAACCGACTAGCGCATCACTAACAGTGTCCAGCCTCTCCAGTACGCGGCCCTTCCTCGTGGGCCATGTTGGCGATCGGGAAGGGCCGCGCCAGCCGCATCGGCCCAGCCAGGTGTCTGACGCCTCAGAGGCCACCTTCAGTTCCGAGAACCGGCCAGCCACCGAACCGATAGGCCTGGCGGCCATGGAATTATATGCTGAAGACGATGGGTAGGATTTGAATTGCACGGACAATGCATGCGACGTATTTTCTACATCGTGTTTACAGCATTCATCGACTACAAATCCGCTGGTGTCTGCTGCATCATTCACATGCCATTCCTATTACTGTCGTCTAGTAAATGAATTGGTGACTGCCCCGTCCTAGAGGCGCCATTGTCCAGGAGCTCTCACACACGGTAATAGAGGTAAAGCGCAATAAGATTAATCGCAAGCACTCAGTCCGATGACTCCGATCTACAGTATTAAGACTACATCAAAACGGCTTCGATAAGTGTACAACCACATCCTGATCTGTCCATATTTTCACGGTAGATAGTGAAGCCGGACAAACGTTGTTACCAACTTCTGCAAGTCTGCCTATCTCCCTCGAGTCAACCATTATGGCATTCGGCCCCTGTCAACAAGTTAGAATAGTATTCTCCAAGATCAATACAAACTAAATCTCGACATACTTCATGACACAGATAAACACCTGCCTCTTTCCATGTAGCAATATTGGAGCAGCCGGTTTTGTACCGGTAGCTGAACTGGTGCTTCTGAAGGAAATGTATAGGATGAATGATTTCATATTTCTGAATATCGTACTTTGTCGATTGGCAGCTGATCCCTGTCTTGGTAGGTGTCAGTACTAACTATGATGTATTAAAACATATTTTCTCTTACTATCTTCAATTCCCCATCACTGATTACATCCGTTGTTGCCAGTAGATATTGTGTAAGAATTTTAGGGTTCATTGCGTCCAGTGCAAAATTAATCGTGACAGGCGGAACTAGGTTGGTAAATAGGACCACTATTTATGTGGATCCGCAATTAATAATTGACTAATTTTTCTCGGACTTTATGTAGTCCCTTTCCTGTTGTGAGCTGCTTTTAACCGATGTCGCCTTGCGCAAGCCTTGTTTGGTTAAAAAAGGAAAAGGGGAGGGAGGGTTTAAAAGGAAGTGCGGGTAAAGAAAATAGAGGCAACTTAGCTTTATCCGCTTCACTAATGATCACTTACGATTGTTTATCCTAAGTTTCCCTGTCCTCCTGGCGGTAGTCTTGATGTTACAGTACAATTATAGTAAATACCCGACCCAAGAGTTATTTCAATCAATTCTCTCATCTACTTCTACGAGTGCGAGATCACAAAATTGATTTTGTTCCAATTTTCCTTTAGGAGTAAGTCATTTGAAATAGTGTCGAACTAGATATTCCCTGGCAGCTATGCGGCTCTGAAAGCGCTCCATCGGACTCGATTAGCCTCTGGACAGGAGATCATACGGGAATGCTTAGAGCTGCTCCGTCGGTGTGAAGGGCAAAAAATCTGGGTGACACTGCGGTGGACCCTGGCCCATCAGGGCATGCCTGGGAATGAGGCAGCTGACCAGCTCGCCAAGAATACAGCGCAACGAGGACCCTTACAAGAACAACAACTAGTCATGCTGTAATGGCCTACTAAGCGCAGGATCAGGGACGAGTCAAAGGCAAAAGTGTCCAAGGGCATGGCAACGGGCAAGGGCAGGACGACCAACTAAGCGACTGCTCAAGGCGCCAGAGAAGGGCGTCCTGCGGTGCTGGGGAGCCTCCGAAAGGTAACCAGCTAAGTGCTTATACAAGTGTTTATGGGGAGAATCAGCCGTATAAAATTTCGCGAACCGAACTGGACGACCAAACGCCCAAACATCTGCTTATGGCATGTCCAACTCTGACCAGCCTGCTAATGTAATTACGAAGGGAGCTCGACAGAAAGATTATACCGGTGTCTAGATGGAGGCTAGGAATCGCTGATGCGAGGGACAAAGGCAAGCGTAGTAGTGGCGGACTTTATCAGAGCACCGTTTTTGCAATCCAGTGTAAGAATCGAGAACACTGAGGGATAAATAGACAGTACGGACGGTATTCGATTCGGTGGAAGGACACAGTCCCTCGATATATAGCGAATTGATCGCTGGATATTGTTCGATTTTCTGGGGGTCTGAAGTGGTTGTATTCGGAAGGATTGTCTGCCCAAACCCTCTATGAGTGTATATATATTCACATGATGTCCCAATCTGGACTAGTTTATTCTGACAGATATCTGTCAAATAATATGGCCTTTGGTGGACCAGAATCATGTGACTAGATAGGGTAAAACCTCCGCGGAGCACACAACGAAAACAACAGAATAATCAACGCAATCAAGAAGAGCCCAACCAGCTCAATTCATTCAAATAAGACCTTTTCGCCAATCGTACTCTATTTCCTCTTCAGGATTAGCCGTATATCTGACAATATCCAAATCACACATTGTGGTTGTGGTTGTGTGCCAAGCGGAAGCTAATCACGGCCCGATGGCGATTCCGCCCGTCGGGAATCCCGAAAACAGCCCATGGATGCCTGAAACCTCAGCAAGGAATAATGACAAGCCTAGGCTGGCACCAGCCCATAGGGTCAGGACAAGAACACATACACAAAGCACAGCGATGTCACTTCTGGATTTTAACGTGCCAGATAATACCAGTAATCGGATCACCAACCTAAAGAAAACCATCGCACACCAAAATATTATCATTAAATCGGCCAGAGCAGATATCCAAGAAATTAAAGCTGGACAGCAAGATCTGTAAAAGGAAAATACAAAGCCACAGGAAAAGATACAAATCCTTTAATCCTAAACTAAAGTGCAGTCCCTATCTACCCCTAAGTTATGGCCGCACTTGCAGCCGGCCCGCCCCTACACTATCCCAACACAAACGTTCCACGTCAGGGCCTGGGCCGAACCCTGCCTGAGGCACAAGACATTATTCACTGTTGAACCCACAACATAGAGATTTTCCCACATTTCCTATACTGTATGACGGAATTCTTTCTTCCTTCCTTCCTTCCTTCCTTCTCTACATTTGATGTTTCGTTAGATCGCCACTTTAGATATAATCTATCCATTTACCAAGGTGTACAGAATATCACAGGTTGGTGTCCTCGCGTTGTTTTGGATGGCTTCATCAATAGTCTAATTAGTCAGGTGGTATTGAAATATAGAGCTCACCGCTCGATAAGATTTTAACGTAATAATTGGAACGACTTAACGAAGTTACCTGGTTATACCACAGTATGTGCTGGGTAAGCTTTTGGACCACTATGCTGAGCCCCTTTCTCTGAGCTCCGTGAAAGACACACCGCTGGTGGTTTCCATGGTTGGATTCACCGTGTTCACGTTCATAATTGGACTTGCTCCGAGCCTCCCTGTTCTTCTGATTTTCAGATGCTTTGCGGACCTTTTTGGTGCCTGTCCCTAACACTCGCCAGCGCTGTGTTAGCAGACCTTTCCGCTTCTCTGAAATGAAGGGCGGTAGTGAATGAGAGGGAAAGAGTAGGACTCCGAAGGAGTAGGTCAAGTAGACACTCTTAGACAGTTCGGAACTTGTGGGCCCTGAGCCCACCCACAAGTTCCTGGTAGGAGAGAAGTCAACATTCACTTTATGCAACCGCGCTCCGCGGTCTGCAAGAAGGTTGTTGATTGTCTATTACCTCTTTGAACGAGGACTTAAAAGTCCATAATCGCAGAGCATGAGGTGTCTGTAAATATCCGCAGCCTGGTTGATGCTTACTTGTCGCTGCCGTTCAAGATGCTGGCGTTTGACCAGATTGTGCCGTTGATATCGAGCAATTATATATAGCCTGATATACTGGCTTCTAAGCGCGTACTATGTGATTTTCCAGCAAATCCACGACCTCTGACATTGGGGGGTTTACCATACATCGCTATTTTGGTTGGCCAGTACTTAGGAGCCTTCGCGGTACTTGCATCTCAGCCATGGCTCTCGGGTAGATTGAAACAGAAAAATAAATCTATGGCCCTGATGGCATTTCCCCATTGCTATTCCAGGGGCGATTCCCGTCGGGCTTTATGGCTAGGATGGTCCGGCTACGATCATACTCTCCCATGGACTTTTCCCAGCACATCTGGCCATTTTATCGGATTTGGACAGCTGGCCATGTTCCTCCCATCGGTCTCATACCTGGCCGATGCGCACCCAACTAGGTAGTGTTGCCACTGGCGCTTGTTGGTGGGATGCTTACTCAGAAAGGCATAGGGTAACATCCGCACTGGCAGCTCACACCTTGCCGCGGTCCATCACAGGCGCTGCAGTCGCACTTTTTTCCGTCTCTATGGTGGGTTCTGCGCCCCCAGTACTGGAAAGAACAATCTAAGTAATGCAGTTTGAAACCTTAGGTGTAGGGTGGGCCTGCACTTCTGGGATGTGTTGGTATTCTCCTGGTCACTGATCCACTTATTTTCTATCTATAAGGTGACCACGCTCTAGGGAATGATACATACCAATACTCGTAGGCTGGCTTGTTAGAGGTAGTTCGCCGATACATTTTGAGCAGATATGACTACTTGGATGATAACTTTCTGGTACGATGTTTGACTGTGAATAGTGACAGCGATGTACATACAAAACCCACAGCCGAACTGAATACAAGTACTAGCTATATTTAGGTAATAAAATTATATTAGCCACTATTCCGCTATAAATCTTAATTATACATTCCAAACTAAGCCCGGGGCAAGAATACTAAAAGTAGTGGTACTATGTCAAATCTCGTGGTGAAATTCTGAGGAATACTGGGTTGCACATATTCATTTTCCTTCTCCAGAAGGCATCTCCATTCCCAGAACCGCCAGCCACTAAATTTAAGTCCAATGCCAAAAAGGTACAGTAGAAATTCATACACTGAGTATCAGACACGACAGCTCCTAGGCCTGCTCGAATTCCCGGAGCACATGAGATCCCAGTGTCAGGATCCTCCGCCGTGGCAAACGGGCCCAATATGCCAACAACCTGCAGAGGGAATCGGAATGGCAATCCGTTAACCAGGATAGACACTGCAGGAGTTGCTGCTGTTCATTGGCAAACTGTGCGAAATATGTCTCGACACGAGCAACAAGGTCCCCTTTTTTGTGCTTCGCGGCCAAGGCCGCCCACGGTAATACCCGTAAGCAATACTCGTAGCGGTGACCTCTAAGATACCACCCAATGATCGTCTTCAGGGAGTTAACGATGATGTGGGATAGATCTGGGTGCTGGAGTAAAGCCGAACGAGAGATGAGCTCAGCGGAGACTACAGGCCCCTTTTGGTAAACCCACTCGGACTGCAAGCCCGTGAAGGTCGTTGGTAGTCCACGGCGTATCTCAACGATAGAAACATTAGGTAGCCATTCCCGGAGATTGGCAATGTCCGGCGGTGAGCAGTGGCAGTTTGTCAACTTCAATCGTTGAAGAAAACTGAACTTCGTGCAGAGGTCCTGTGCCCATAGATAGGATGTCGATGACTGAGGAACGGTGGTGGGTAGAGCAGGGCGTGAAAAAATACCCCGCAATCCTTCAATTTCCAGCTCTTTCAGGGTGCTAGGAAGCCTCGGCAGTGCCTGAAGGCCGCCGTCCAGGTACCAATCCCCGAAATTGATCGAGCAGGATGGCACCCCTGACACTGCGATGGCATATCGCAGCGACCGACATGCCTCGGCCTTCAAGCGGACGATGGGCGTAGGTGGTCGACCTACCGATGACCAATCTAACGCAGAAGGATAAATTTCAAAAGAGAGCCATTTGGCGCACTCATTGAGCCCGAGCATATCTGGGCGAAGCGGGCTCTGCAATGGCCTGACCTGGATCAGAGGGCCTCCTTCCTCCACAGCTTGCTGAAGCCGATCCAGGTCTGCACCGACTGCGGCCGATTCCTCACTCCGGTATACCAGGAGAGCCGTATCGTGTCCCAGTTCCAGCACCTGGGTAGGAAAGAATGTCAGAGGAATCTGGTCACATTGCACATGTCGGCGACAACGCAGATCCCCACGGAACAGATACACCTGGATAATGCCGTGCTCCTGGAGGAATTCCATTGCGTTGGCTGACAGAGACACGAGTTGGCTGGACGCCTTTCGGAAAAATCAAAAGTGCTCGCATGTAGCACCCGCATTTGACGTGGTATAGGATCTCTGTAAACGTAAGGCCGTTGGTATTCGTTGCAAAAAGGCCATTTTTTCCCTCTTGTTTCTTGAACTATCCTGTTTGATTAAATAGCTATTGTAGGGAGCTGGCCGCAGATGCCCCACAGCCTTTCTGCAATGGTCGTAGTGTTTCCATCGGACGAATTTGTGATCACCGCCATGAGATACCCTGCCTGTTGCCTGTTCGTTGCCGGTTATTCTCTCAGATGTATTACGAAAATTTGCCTTGGACATACAGTAGCTGATCACCCATGTAATAATGTAATAAGGCTTATCGTCCGGAGTAATAACTACAACTGCATACATGTTCTCATACGGCTGAATCAACGTATGCGATTTTCCTTAGTTAGTATAGATCAGCCTTCTACTTCCTTGACTTCAAGTCCTATAAGCTCTATACCGAAAGTTAGGCGCAGTGGCCTGGTATTCCTTAGATATATTAGTGTTTTTACCTCAACTTTTACATTAACGGGAACAAATATTAAAATAAAATAAAAACGAGAGAGACGACATGGAATATTCAGAACCTATATTGGGCCAGCAATCCTACACACGTAAGCTTTCAAGTCCTACACCATTGGGTGTGACCTCCTATTATGAAATAAAGTGATGCTTGAGCAAAAATCCTGAGCATGTATGAATGTACACGTCATAGGAGTTAATTTTAATCTACTCTGACACGTATCAAAGAGTAAAGGAGTTTGCCAGGCAGGGGGGGAAATGTCGTATTAACTGGGCCATTTCCAATCTATGTACTTGTGTGCTAAACCTTTATTAGTGTGCCCGAACATGCCAGCCAGAACTAGAGCAATGAATCGAAGAGAAATTCAGGTGAGACTGGAACATTTTCCTTACATACAGTATGTTACTGTACTATACTTTTTTTACCAAAGAAAGACCTGTCCAGGGCTATCTCTAGCCGCAAGGTCCTAGGACTACAATTGCATGGGAAAAACACCTTATAATATTTATCAGGGAAATCCATAAAAAGAGCAACTTCCTATAATTTAAAACCAAGGCTTTTTTCCATCGATTGCTGATACTTTGCTCGAAAAAGCTATAAAGGCTATGAGATTTCTATGCAGCAAATAGCTTATTAAGGGATGAACTGCATCGATCGACGTCAGGTAGCCAATAAGTGCCAGAAGGACAAGAAAGAGGTGCCTAGGCAGTTCTTTCAAATTGCAGGCAGAAGCTGCGTATCTGTAGGATCCCACTGATCCGGTATAAGATTCGCGAAAGGATCTTGTTGTGCGTGAGCTGGCTGCAAAGCTGCGGCCTTTCCCTTTCGTTTGGTTCCCCTTTGGGCTTCTTTTTCATCTCGCTCCCCAATTTTATGCGTAGCGTCGGATTTATTAATACTGTAGGACCTAATGCCTAGACCTCAAAATTTAATTTAGGCTTTTGAGCCTCAGAAAGAGTGAGAAGCTGCTTTAAATCGGCTTGATTTTGAGCGATAAGCTCGGCTGCGATTTGGTCACGTCGAAAGTACTGCTCGAGTCAGCTCCTAGGCTGAGGATTAATCTCATTTTTAAAGAAGTTTCTTGGGTTCCTCAACACTTTTTTGTGCACTTCGAGTAAGAACTGGAGATACTGTGAGACTAGAGCTTAGTGGAGGTGTGTTACGCTCGCTATCAGGCCACTTGAGTTAGACCTTCTGCGATAAGTGGCTGGATAACTTTTGATAAGTCCCACGGATAAATGCCTCGACCTGCAAAGGAATGTCTAATTGTATGAGATTTAAATGACTCATCTCAGACCTCTGCAATATCTCGAAAAATCATGTTTATCGTTAACTGATCCCTCCCACGAACCAACTGGTTATTTTTATTTCGAAAATGTGCTTTAAATGTAAGAAATGGCTTGCTGTCAGTAGCTGAGTAAGATGAGTAGTATGTGGGACAAGGCGAAGGGTATAATATTTTTTTGCTCGCAAAATTGTAGAAATCCATATTTGACATGTGATCGATGGCTGTCAAAAAAAAAGAAGTCGCTCCTCATTTTTAATACTGTACTATTTTTCTTCGTGTGAAAATCAAAAAAACCGAAGCCAATCAAGGGCAATCCCGCCATTAGTATAGCCCTTTGGCGAGAGCGCGAATCGATAATTACCAGGAATAGTTAGCTGGTCATGATACCACCTCTCTATGTGGTGCTCCCCTATAATAATAAAATAGGCAGGAACTACTTCGCGGGCCGCTGAGATACACTTAATAGTATTAATTGTCTGGCCCGCGTGGCCTGTATGTAGCTATCTTTGATGCTTTTTTACAAGATGCCGAGCTAGTAACGACCTTCTGAGCTTTCCCTTGAACGATTTGAAGGCCAGTTTTGTCAAAATTATAGATATTGGTGGTATTCTCTCAATAAATGGCTGAAGTTTATCACACAAAATAGAGACAATTCCAATATCCTCGGCCTCCATTCGCTTACACTCGATTGGCTTTTGCTTAACAAGCGTTAAATCACGAGGAAGCGTTGTATAAAGCAATAGGCCTATGTTTTATCAACTGGTGGAGGCGGGAGTTGATTTGGCTTCGTGCTTCGGGCGATTATAGCATTCGCACATTGAGCAATTGTGCTTGCAGTGGGAGAAAGATTAACTGAATCAAGCTGCCGAATCCACTGAACTAAGGCATCCTCTTGCGATTAATTTAATCGCTTGGTGATCGTACGAGCTGATCGAGAGTCGCGGCCGTTGAAACCTACCCGAAGCCGCGTGACTGGCACTTAAAAATCACGGGCAGTAGCTGCGATGTTGAGTTTTTTTTGTGAGCCTGACTGCTTCGTAGGCCTTAATAATACGTTTTTCAACTTCGATATATTGCTCAGGCATGTTCGTGGTGATGAAAAATAGCTGAATAACTTCAGAAGTTGCGTTGGGCTGCGAAATTTCGTTGCGGCCTACGTAGGTGTGCTACGGCTAATACCTACGAGAGACAGCAATGGTAGCATACGGATTAATATAGTAGGATTTGAAAATGGGCTCTTAAGTATTGTATAAATCAGCTAGGTTATATACTTCCACGTTTTCCCATAGCATGACAGCTTATCGCCCTTAAAATCAATGATCGATTCTAGTACATTAAGAGTCAGCAAAGCCTTAACAGGTACGAAAGGGAAGATGGATTAGTAAGTCCAGATTATACCTAGACTGATTGATGTTTCTTCATTATTCGGCTTGCAAATTGCGCGGAGGGTAGGCAACTGTGCTAAAGAAACACCCATGTGACATGATGATAGAAACTCTCCACTTTATAAGGTTAGCATATTATACCACTCTAATCTAATGAGTGAGTAGCTGATAACATACTTTACACGTCCATGCAAGTTTCCGCCATCGTTTGCTACACAGTGAGTCAGATTAATACAATCATGGAGCTCTTTATCGCCAGAGCAATAGCAGCACAGCCCTCCATTATTGCTAATCACGCACTGGCCCCAGTCCAGCTGGCAGCTACTCTGGGCAGATGATAGAGCAGCCCGGGAGATTGAGATGGTTGTCGCAAACAAAGTAAGGGATATCAAATGTATATGCATCGTTACAAAGAGGGAGAGCAATGGGTAATACAATAAGAGTGTGTAAAATGAGAGTTACCCTTAGGATTTTTGAAAAGGGATGAGTGTGTCTTTTATGTATCCTGTTTAACTTAGAATTGCATTGAAGTGGTTATCTATTTTTATTTTTAGTAACTGGGGAATGAATGGTGCCGTAGAGACTAAATCCATCAGCTGAAAATGTGCCCACTGAAAGATGGAAAAAAAAAAAAAAAATCTTTCATTGGAGGCCCCAGAGAGTAATTTGCGTTTCTGAGGTAGCTTATATGTCTCTGGATGTTGGGGGCCATTGCCAAAAAAGGATATTCCTCTACGTGGCCCCGACTGATATAGGCCACGATATTATACTGGGGCTCCCATGGCTAATCTCTCAAAGAGCTAATATATCTACGGATAGATAAGAGATAGTCTTCCAATGCACAGGAACCGAAGTTAGTAGCGAATACCACCAAACTGGAACCCCTAATATTGCTCCTACTAATGCCAACTCCTTCAACATGTGGGGGCCAGGGAAGGAAGAAGATACAAGTCTTTACTGCGAGCTTGAAAGATATTGAGAAAGCATATTTACAGTTAAGAAATGCACCAACTCTAGAATTAAGCTGGCAGCACTACCACCATCCCGGTATTTAGCCGCGAAGAAGCTGACAAGCTCCCACCGCACCGTGCAGCTGGAGTCGACCATAAAATCGAACTGGAAAAAGATGAAAATGGAAATACTCGCGAACTTCCACATGGACCGTTATACAGCATGTCTCATGATGAATTACTAGTTCTCAGGAAGACCCTTTTAGAACTATTGGACAAGAAGTTTATACGAGTCAGGAACTCATCTGCCGCAGCCCCGGTTCTTCTAGTAAAGAAACCAGGAGGAGGACTACGCTTTGTTGTGATTACCGAGGTCTAAATGTAATTACAAAGAAGGACCGATATCCACTCCATTTAATTAACGAAACACTGGAACGGATTACAAAAGCACGCTGGTTCACCAAGCTCGATGTTATTGCTGTATTCCATAAGATCCGGATCTCACCAGGAGACGAATGGATAACAGCCTTCCGGACCAGGTTCGGCCTTTATGTATCGCTAGTAACACCTTAACACCTTTTGGCTTAGCCAATGGCCCAAGCACGTTTCAATGGTATATTAATTAGATTCTGCGTGACTTCTAGACGAGTTTACTTCGGCATACAGTGATATATTAATCTTCTCATCCGGGTCACTCATCGAACACCGAAGCCATGTTAGCAAGGTATTGGAACAACTACAAAGACAGAACTACAATTGGACATTGACAAGTGCGAGTTTGAAGTTATAAGTACCAGGTATTTGGG